GAAACCGCCCGCAGCCTCCAGTGACCACAGTCTGTCTGTCTAGTCCCTTTGCTGCAAGTTGCATAAAGTTGCAAGCGCTTGCCTCGCATCCCGGATCCTGAAAAGGAGTACTCCAGTATTCTAGTTTGTTCCGAGGAGGGGAGCCCTGTGATTAAGCCTTCATTCTGGCAGAGAGCGAGTGAGTCATTACGGAAGACAGGTATTGTGGCTGCCAAGTCAGTGGTTAGGAAAAGTGTGAGTGGAAGCTCTGTTTTGCATTATCCTCCGTTTCAAATTAACATTTATTTGAAACGTCATTGTTAGACACCCTCCGCCCCCCCCCCCTTCTCTAGGGAGAAGGTATTACTATAAGGTGAAGTCCCGCCCCGCCTCGCCCGTGGGGGCGTGGCTTTTGTGGTTCCTAAATTTTTCGCTAAGAGTAAGCATGTTGATTTGGTAAAGGACCTTGAAAACCATTTTGAGCCATCTGCTAACATCTGTTTTGACTGTGTTTCTGGTGTATTCTCCCCTGTGTGAGACACACCAGTAGACCCATGAGCAGAATCACATTACCCCTGAGAAGCAATCTATAAAACACCCTATTGATAACAAGCAGAAAGGGAATGGGGCACCTTCTGTCATAAGGTGTATATTTAGACTTCCTTACAAAAATTGGCTGAAAATAAAAACCAGTCCCAAATTTACCATTGAACATAGGCCTACTGATGAACCCGGAAACACAAACTTTTGACTTCAACAAGATAGCTTCTTTGTTGTTGTATTTTTAAACCCTTATTTTTATTTTATGTTTCTGAGTGTTCTGCTTGCAACTGTGTGTCTGTGTGCCAGGTGCTTGCAGTGCCTCTGGAGGCTATGGAACTGGAATTACAGATGGTTGTGAGCTAACATGTGGGTTCTAGGAATCAAACCTGGGTCCTCTGGAAGAGGCCCTTAACCTCGGAGCCATCTCTCCAGACCCACCCTACCCCCTTTTTTGATACAGGGTCTCACTATATGTATTGGCCTGATCTAGAACTCACAAAGATCTGCCTCCATTTGCCTCCAAGTGCTGGAATTACAGATGTATACCACCATACCTGGCAAGATTGTTTCTTAATTATATGCATAGCAATCTTTTTTTTTTTTAAGGCAGTGGCTCATATTTAGCTCTGACTGACCTGGAATTCACAATGTAGACCAGGTTAGACTTGAACTCACAGAGATCTGCCTGCCTCTGCCTCCAGAGTGCTGGAATTAAAGGCGTGCACCACCACACTGGCTAAAGAACACAATGCTTTAAAATACTTTATAAATTATTGTATTTTATCAAGCATAAAACATCTGTTTTTGAGATTATAATAAGATTATATGATTTTACCTTTTCATGCCTATTTTATAAACTTATTTTTGTAGATTACAATGTATGACATGAACATATATAAATATTTCAAGGCCTGCCTAAATTTATTGGTATTTCACAGCTCTACTCAAAAACTGCTCCCCCACCCCACCTCCTCCTTCCCCCAGACTTTCGTGCAGTCTGTCTTCTTTATTAGTCAAGTATGGGTTTTTCAAAGTTGGATTCCCATCATATCACCTTTTTACAAGTTATTTTATGTAACTGGGTGTTTTGCCCACACACATATGTCTATGCACCATGTGTGTGCAGTAGCAACAGAGGCCAGAACAGGATGCTCCATCCTCTGGGACTGAAATAACAAATGATTGTGAACTTTTTTTTTTTTTTTCAAGACAGGGTTTCTCTGTGCCTTTGGAGGCTGCCCTGAAACTCGCTCTTGTAGACCAGGTTGGTCTCGACCTCACAGAGATCCGCCTGCCTCTGCCTCCTGAGTGCTGGGATTAAAGGCGTGCGCCACCAACGCTGGGCTGAACTTTTTTTTTTTTTTATGTGGATGCTGGGAACCAAACCCAGGTCCTTTGCAAGAGCAACTAGTGTTCTTAACCACTGAGCCATCTCTCCAGCCCCCAAAAACTGCTTTTTTAAAAAATTAAACTATAACATCCATTTCTCCCTTTCCTTTCTTCCATCCAGCTGAAATCAGTCCCATGTAGCCCCCCTCGCACTTGTGCTCCCTCCCTTCCTCCCCCCTCCCTCTCTCTCTTTCATGGCTTCCTTTTCTTTAACTGTTGGTACATATGTATTTTTAGTGTGTGTGTGTGTGTGTGTGTGTGTGTGTGTGTACATATATATTCCAAATAAATAATAATATGGACAGCTCAGTCCATATTATGTTACTTGTATGTATATAATTTCAGGGCTATCTAAACAAGACCTGAGCAAGATGGCTCCAATAGACTTGCTGACATGGCAGGGGGAAGCTCACAAAGCCCCAACCCTACACAGAGAACTACAGGTAGCTAAGGAATGCTGAGGGCAAGAGACATAGTCTTCCCCAGAGAAGAGCCCCCACTTCACATGGTTATTCAGTACCAGGTGGTCCACTATGAATATATATTTTAAAAATATTTAAAAGCTGGGCCATGGTAGTAGAGTAGGACCTCTAATCCTACTCAGGTCATAAGATCTGCATGGCAAGTACTCTTATTCACTGGACCATGTTGCCAGCACTATGAGACTAATGTGTTCTGAACTTCCACATCCTCCACCAGAGAACTGGATGCTGTTATTCAGCATCTGTTGACAAGAAGCCACTGTAGGGAGTCTGTTCAGAAGCTTATCTGTTATCATTTCTTTCTAGAATTGCTGGTGGATAGCTTTACTGTTAAGTTTCAGGGAAAGGGCTTGTTTCATGAATTTGCTTTGTTTCATTGTTGGGAACATTAAATGCTTTTAAGACATAAGTCATTTACTATTTTGTTGACTTGGACTTGCTGACTTTTTATGCTCCGTTTTCACAGTTCTTGGTTGACACAGAGATGACAAGTATCTTGGCTGAATGTTCAAGCGGAAGGGCTCATTATGATCCTGGTAAGTATTGTATCTGGACGTAGGTACCATGTCTGCTAACTTACAGCTGAGTATGCGCCTCAGATGCTTCTGCCTCTGGGTAGGAGCTGTGTGCTCTATGCCATTCTTGAATTTTACCACTTTTTGCCAAGAGATAGATTTCTTTCTCAATGATTACATTACTATCTGGTATGAGTTCAATTCATGACTATTTTGTATCAAAATTAATATTAGTCCTAATCTTTTCTCCAGGTATTTTCAAAAGTGTTCAATCATTAGTGATCTGTGACTTTACTGGATTTTACTTCAGAGATAAATTTAATTTTGATTTCATGCAGCCTTTAGAATACCTGGGTAAATGTGTTAACTATACAAACTGTATCTGCTAGGCGGTGGGTAGTGGCACATACCTTTAATCCCAGCACTAGGAATGCAGAGGCAGGCGGATCTCTGTGAGTTGGAGACCAGCCTGGTTTACAGAGTGAGTTCCAGGACAGGCTCCAAAGCTACAGAGAAACTCTGTCTTGAAGAACCAAGAAAAAAAAAACAAACAAACTATATCCTAAGGGGCTGATTTGTGTTTCTGAATATTGTTGAAATGAGTTAGTTTTATCCTACTTTTTAAATCACATGGAATTGGTTTTCTCTTTCTATTGTGGTTTCTGGGGATGGAACTCAGGTCTATGTATGTATAGAATTCTATTAAATGGACATTATTTTGTGTGTGATTAGTTCACATTCCTATAGGAACACTATAAGGAATCCTAAGGATTAATATTTAATCTTAGCAATTAGGTCAATTAAAATTCACTGTTTTATTTGTATAATAGGGCTGGAATGTAGAGCACTTGCCTACCATGCTTTAATCCCTGAGTTTGATCTCCAGCACTGCATATACTGAGTATAGAAACATAGGCCTGTAATCCCAGAGTTTAGAAAGTAGAAGCAGGAAAATCAGAAGTTCAGGGTCACCCTTAGCTATAAGGATAAAGGCCAGCCTAAGCTACATAATACCTTGTCTCAAAAATATTGTATTCTTATAGATATTATTAACTAATTAACTGTTAGTTTTTTCCAAAATATTGTATTTTTTAAAATATTTATTTATATATTATACAGTGTTCTGCCTGCATGTATAACTGCATGCCAAAAGAGGCTACTAGATCTCATAACGGATGGTTGTGAGCCACCATTTGGTTGCTGGGAATTGAACTCAGGTCCTCTGGAAGAGTAACCAGTGCTTTTAACCTCTGAGCCAACTCTCCAGCCCAGGTTTTGTATTTGTGGTAGTGCATATCTTTCTTTAATCTCAACCCTAGGGAGGCAGGTGGATCTTTATGAGTTCAAGTCCAATATAGTCTACATAGTGAGTCCAGTATAGCCAAGGCCACATAGTGAGATCCTGTTTCCAAAAGAGAGGGGAGTGGAGGTTTGGGAAGAAAGAAGGAAAGGAAGGAAGGGGGGAGGGAGGGCGAGTGAATGGGTAGGGTAGGTTTTGTGTTTGTTTGTTTTTGGGTTTTTTTTTTTTTTTTTTTTTGGTTTTTCGAGACAGGGTTTCTCTGTGTAGCTTTGGAGCCTATCCTGGCTCCTGGCACTTGCTCTGGAGGCCTTGGAACTCACAGCGATCGGCCTGCCTCTACCTGCCGGCTATTTTGTCTTTTTTGGTTTATTTACTTATGCAGACAGAACACTGTATATATAATAAAAATATTTGCTTGCACACTAGAAGAGGGCACCAGATCTTATGATAGGTGGTTGTGAGCCACCATGTGGTTGCTGGGAATTGAACTCAGGACCTCTGGAAAAGCAGTCCAGTGCTCTTAACCTCTGAGCCACCTCTCCAGTCCAGGTTTTGTGTTGTGGTATGGGTGTGGGTGTGGGTGTGTCTGTGTCAAGGTCTTGCTATGCCCAGTTTGCCTCAAAGTCAATATGTATCCCAGGCAACCTTGAAGTTTTGGTTCTCCTGTTTCAGCCTCCTAGGTGTCACCATGCAGCCATGTGCTACCATACCCAGTTGCCAGGTTGTTAAAATGACCTGACAGTTTGAGAACCACTGGAGGAGGCAGTGGGTTCTTGTCTGAAAGTAGGCAAAACATTCTGGAAAGGTAGCCTAGTAACTCAAAGTAAAAGACTTAGAAGTTCCAGTGTCACATTCTGGTAATCCTAGCACTTAGGAGGTAGAGGTAGGAAGCTGAAGCATTTCAAGATTATCTTCCATTACATGTTAAAGTGAAAAAATGAAGACAGGCTAGGTGACTGGAGAGTCTGCCTCAGCTCCACAAGTTATCCTGTACCTCCATACTCAGTGATGTGCATGTAAATCCCCCTCCATGGGAACACAAAATAAAACTGATAGCCATATTCTCAGCCAGGTGTAATGGCACACACCTGCAATCCCAGCACTTAGGAGGTAGAGGAGAGTGAATCTCTATGAGTTCAAGCTTGGTCCATAGAGAGAGACGCTGTCTCAGATAAATAAAAACAATTGATGAAAAGGGAAATGAGAACTTAGACTGTCTGAGGTTTGTCTTGTTTTAGCCTGCATAGTAGAGTTAACCACTTGGGAGTTAAGGGCTGGACTTAGTCCATAAATGTGTTTGCTTTAACTTATATTACCTGGTTGATTGGTTGGTGGGTGGATTGCTGAGGGGAATAGTGATATTTTTAGATTTTTAAGAGAAATTAGTTGTTACCATTTAAAAACCAGCAGGTTTTATAAATCTGTGCTTTTAGCTTATCCTTTAAAAATGACATTTATTTAGGAGGGGTGGTGGGTGTGTCAGTCAGGAGATAACCTGGGGATTCAGTTCTTTCATCCTACCATATGAGGCCTGGGGGTCAGACTCAGGTTGTCAGATACAGATTGAAGTGAGCCTTCTCTCTGACCTGGCTTATCTTTATAGTCAAGTGGAATAGAAATATGGGACCTATGTTCCATTACTGTACCGATCAGTGGGAATAGCAAAGAAACTACCCCTTTAGTGAATGTGTGTTCTCCCATTTGCCACAATAACTACCACACCCTGTTGTTTTACATATATTTTTACCAATTACATTTCCTTTACGGTCTGTGTATTTGAGTTTGTAACTTCTGTTGCAGACAGGGAAAAATTGATGAACACTTTAAGGAGAGTCACATTTTTATATATTTATTCAGTAAACAGTTCATTAAGCATATATGAGGTTGTTTTGTGCTCAGTAATTAGTGTTGAAGATGAATGAGCCCTGACAGTGACCAGTATACTATTTTAGTGGGAAAATGATGAGAAGACTATTTTAGGACGATGGTAGTATATGGATTTCAAAATAGCAATAGTGGCTGATAGACCAGTTCGGGCACTTCAAGTCTGAAGTAATAAAGACTAGAATTTAGTTATCAGCAGAACTAGGAGGAAAGAGGAAGAGATGGGAAGGATGTTGTAAACAAAGACTTGATAAGAATGTTGAATATAGAATGCAAGAGAGTAAAGTTAAAAACTAAAAACATTTTTTGAGTTTCATATTGAGAAAGTTGTGGTGCTACTGAGAAAGAGGGAGATTAATAAAAGACTCTGTTTAATCTTTGTATGTAGTGGACAAAACTGGAGGGGTATGATAGAACTGCCAGTTTGTATACATGTGGACAAAGCTGGAGGGTACTATACAAGTGCCAGTTTGAAGTGTCTCTGGTTTTGAATCATTATCGTGGGGTAAATGCAATTTAATGCTTTGTTTTTTTGAGACAGGGTTTCTCTGTGTAGCCCTGGCTGTCCTGAAACTGGATCTTTAGACCAGGCTGGCCTTGAACTCAGAGATCCACCTGTTCCTGCCTCCAAGTGCTGAATTAAAGGCATGTGCCACCACCATCCAGCTTGCAATTTAATTTTTAGTTATTTGGTGTGTGTGTGTGTGTGTGTGTGTGTGTGTGTGTGTGTGTCCCTCTGTCTGTCCTGTCCGTCTGTCCGTGAGTATATACACATAAATACAGGTGCCTGAGGAGGCTAGGGATATTAGATAAATTCCTTAGAATTGAGGTTACAGGCAGTTGTGAGCCTCTGGGAAACAAATTCAAACTTGGTTCCCCTGTAAGAACTGCAAAAATTCTTCACTGTTGAGTCGTCTCTCCAGCTCTTAAGTGTTTTTTTTTGTTTGTTTGTTTGTTTTGTTTTGTTTTTGTTTTTGTTTTTTTAAAAGAAATCCTACTATGTCCTAGGATTGTAAGGGATGTTAGGAGAAGTGTTTATAGTCAACAAATTATAAGAAAATCTCATTTGAGGACTTAGGGAAATGGTTAGGTATGTGAGGTTCTGACTTGGTGCTTACTGTGTAAGCATGAGGACCTGAGTTTGGATTGCCAACATCCACACAAGAAGCCGTGAATGGAAGCACATGTCTCTAAACCTCAAGTGCTGGGGAGCAGAGACAGGCAGGTCCCAGGGGCTTGCTGGCAGTCATTCCAGCTGAGACAGTGAGCTCTGCAATTAGTGAAAGACTGTCTCAATAAAGTGGAAAGTGTCATCCTCTGGGTTTCACCTGCACGCACCCACCCACACACAAACTTTTATAGCACAAACAATATATAACCCCACACACACACACACACACACACACACACACACACACACACACACGTTCACTGAGAGGCATATGTTCTCACAGTCAAATTTTAATACTGGGGCATTGATCTTTAGTAATACTGTTTTTCAGGGCTACATAGTGAAACCCTATTTCCAAAAAGGTTACTGAGCCCTATATATAACATCTTCCTGTATGCCCCTACTTGTGAGGAAGTTTAATTTATAAGTGAGGTACAGTAAGAGATTCACAATAATAAATGATAAATATAGGATAGATATAAGTATGCTTTGATAAAAAGATATTTGAAACTTATAAATTGTTCATTTTTAGAGTTTTCCATTTAAGTGTTTTCCATCCACAATCAGCTATGGATAACTGAAACTTTGCTAAGCAAAACCATGGATATAGGGGTTGCTGTAAATGCCACTCACAGTTGATATGTGTTTATGAGGTAGATATAGCTT